GTAATTTTCCCCATTAACAAAACACGGAACGCTGCACGTTTCATCTTGATGAACCCAAACCACACGTGCTTTCACCCAAAAGCCCACGATTCCACGTTTCAGCCCCAGCAACAACTGCTTTCCCAAGGAAGCAACTCCAAGCCCAAATGTTTGCACAGGCACCCAAACATCTACCCCCACCAGAGAACAAAAACCCGGAACAATCACTTACAGTTGTCAGACTGGAAATCTGGGACAAATTGCTCGTCATCGGGGACCTGAGCTAAAAAAAACAAACAAAAAAGTGGGTTTATGGCGTTGTCAGTTCTCAAAAAAATGCTCGCGGAGAGATTTTACACGGCAAAAGGCRGAGGTAAAGACTTGCCTTCAGCTAGCCAGGCCTCTTGGAGCTGGCTGAGATCCTGGAAGAGCTCTGGAACAGAGTGAAAGACTTATGGGTTCCACAGAAGAATAAATAAAACTGCCATTATTTGCAGAATTATTTCTAAAACAACAAATGCGAGGCGAGTGGTCTCACGGAGCCACGGAGAGGCCACGGCTGTCCGGGCCAGCCCTGCCTACCTTCCGAGTCGTGGGCCAGGTCAGTCTCCAAAAATTTCCTTTTCCTATCGGACCCCGGCCGGCCTCGGCCCTCCTCYGTGCAGGACTTCTGCAAGGAAAAGGGCGACAGCCGCCCGTGAGGGTGGCAGCCCCCAAGGCTCAGGGGGGCCCCCAAGGATAGCAGGGTGCCCCCAAGGACAACGGGAGTACTCCCAAGGAAGTSRGAAAGGGGTGCCCTCAAGGTCGGGGAGGAAGATATCAACAGGGATCGGGGTGGGCAAACTTACCCCGGGGCCCATGAAGGGAACCTGCTGGTCATAGAAGCCGTCCATGGTGCGGGGGAAGCGGACAGTGCCCCCGGCCCGCTCAGCATCGACACCGGCCCGGGAAGGGGGGGTCCCGCCCGGGCTCCGGCAGGTGCGCGGCTGGGGGGTGGAGGGGACGGGGAGGGGTCAGGCCCTGGCCTCCGCCACCCCCGGGGTTGGCTCGGAGCGGGTGCGGGGCCGCCACGCCTCCCCGGGGAGCCGTCCCGCTCCTGCCGTGGCGGGTCGCAGCCCCCCGGCTCGTGATGTCACCCAATTTCTATAGAAACGGCCGTGACATCACGCGCGGTGGGAGCGGGAGGAGGCACGGGGGGGGGGCGGGGGCGCGCGCGTTTCTCCCCCCCCTCCCCCGCCCCTCCCCGCGCCGCAGCCGCGCTCGTTCCCACGCCACCCCGCGCGCCCCATTCATAAACTCCGCCCCCCCTCCTCCTCTCCCCCGAGCGCGCGCTCGAGCAGCCGCTCGCGCGCGCCCCCCGCCATTCACACCGCGCGGCCCGCGCCATTCATAAACACCGCCCCCGCCCCGGGCCCGGGCCCCGGCCGCGCTGCGCCCCGCCCCGCCGCCAGGCCCCCACGTACCCGGCCGGGGCGCCGCGGCCTCAGCGGCTGCGGGGCAAACCGGGAGCGGGGCCGGGGCCGGGGATAGCGCGGCGCCTCTCCGAGCCCGGGCACCGCGCTGCCGCTCTGCGCCGGCCCGCAACCCCCGAGCCAGCGGCCTCCGCCGGCCCCGCCCCGCGCCGCTTGTTTACCCTCCGCGCCGACCAATGGGCTGCGGCCGCTCGGCCGCCCGCGCCATCTGATTGGCTGCAGCGCCGCTCCGCGCCCGCCCGCGCGCCGCTCCGCCGAGCACCATTGAGAACGGCTGAGTGGGCGGGGGCGGAGGCGACCAATGGGCGCGCCGCGATCCGCCTGGCTCCGCCCGGGACGTTTTTCATTCATAAAAAAATAGAAGGGGGAAAAGACTGGCGGGTGGGGCCGRGGCCGCGCAGGATTTAAAGGGGCCRCGGCCCCCTGCAAGAGCTGGCCTGGGACGGGTTAACGGGCGGCCTTGGGCAGGGGAGAGTTGCTGGRACAACCCTCGGGTCCAGGGTGGAGAGAAAGGACCGGGTCCGTGCACAACGTGCCTAAGAATCTGCCACACAGCAAACCATCCAAACGGTGTGGACCTTGGGCCTCACAGGCCCTGGGGTCCTCTCTGCTTTCGTGSGAGGTGGTTTCACACAAGCAAGGCAGCGTCACACGGGAGCCGCTGCGAGCCCGGCACTAACCCATGCCTGAGGACTGATTCGGGCAGCCTTTCCCCCGCAGGCACCCGGAGCCAGTATTGTCTTTAAAAAGGGCCATAGGAAAAATAGCTCYCACCTGCAAAGGCTTTGGGGCTGCCCCTGCCACGGATCCCTCCAAGCAGATTAATGGACACACACCCTTGAAGGACTCCAAATGTCCCAGAGATTTGGAAATGAGTTTAGGAACAGACTGGTGGTGCTGAGGACCTGCCAGGCCCCCCACTGCAGCATTTCCCTGCTMAGYGCCTCAGTTTCCCCATCTGTAACTGGAGGTGGTGAGACCTGCATTGGGGACCCGTCAGTGGCTGCTGAGGGAGGATACAGCAATTTGCACAAGATAAATGGACTGTGGAGGCCTCAMATTGTTGTGGAGGGATACTAGGAAGTCATTGCTGGAGAAGGCAAAAACAAGGGATAGTGCACGGTTCCATACTGCACATCTCACCTTAGGAAGGAGAGGAACATTCTGCTGTGTCCTGGGAAGCTGCCCAGGAATTAGGAAGCCTGTCAGTACAGAGTTGTCCAGGCTGGCTTGAAATCCTCAGGTCATGGGCTCCTCAGTGTCCTGGGAGAGCTGCCCAGCATGTCTCTGTCGAGGCTGGGTTATTAATGAGCTCCCAGATCCTCCGGAGCCACCCCCACCCCCAGGGATGGCAGGTAGCTCATGTGCCATCGTGTCCCGAGTGGAACGATGGGGGTGAGCTGGGGGCAGGAAGCGCAGAGGGCACGGGGTGTCCTTGCTCCCGGGGGGCTCTGCAGCCACTGGGGCTCTCACTTCCCCTCTGCACAAAGGCAGCCGCGATTAAATCACTGCAGGTAAAATTAGCAGATGACACATGGGCGGGAGGGTGGCAAAACCCGCACCGGGGGGCACCGMGGGCGGTGGGGACGAGCTGGGTCGCTGCAGAGCTGGGGGGCGTGACGGGYGACCCCCGTCAGCTGCGGATCTGCACCGTCTGGGGGCTGCTCAGCACCCCCGGGACGGGGAGAGGTGATGAGGGTGAGTACAACTGTGAGACAGGCGGGTGGCAGGTCACAGGGTTGCCTCAGGAAGAGCAGAAGCCCCTGGAGAGCCAGGGCTGGGAGGGGGGATGGTGACCAGTGCCGGCTAAATTTAGAGCCCACTGAGGAAAAAAAAAAAAAAAAAATTTTGCAGGCTCCAAATTTAGCCGGATGCAGCTCCCACTGAGCACCGCTCGATTGCGCTGCTGCTGCCAGCACCCCTTCAGCCCCGGCACSCCGGAGCGGGCGCCATCTGTTCCAGTCCCCAGAGGTGGGGACACCCCAGTGGCCAGGAATCACCCCCACACAGCCCAGAGTGGCTGAGGAGTTCATGACCATCTTTATTGGAGGCAAGGCCACAGCAGTCCAGGTGTACACGGCAACACGCTACGCTACGGACACCGTTCCATGCAAGAACCACAGCGACACACACGGAGGGAGGAGTGGGCTGGGGCTCCTGTGGGACCAGGGGTCCCCCAGTGCAGCACTGGCACCAGTGCCTTATCTGGGGGGTTTGTTCCATCCCAYGCCCTTGGCTGAACTGGGAGACACTGGGAAATGGGGGGTCAGGGCCTCGAGTGCCCCTCAGCTGCGTGGCGTGTTCCTCCCTGGAAGGAGGGCTGAAGGCCCAGCCTCTGTGGGTCCCTCCTGGGCTGGGGACCTTTGCACCATGAGACTCAGGAGGCTGGGAGCTGGCAGGCCCGTTGAACTGTGCCTTTGGCAGTGCAGGAGCAGGTTGGAGCTGGGTCCCCGGGGTGGGTGGCACGGGTCACCTCCCTGCCATCAGAGGGGCCGTCTCTGTTGGAGCCTGGCACAGTGCTGCTGGTGTATCACTGCTCCACTGGCCCAGGGTGGTGGCCCTGGGCTCGCTGTGACCTCCAGGACCTGTGGTGAGTGTTCCTCATCTCCTCAGCCCTGGCTGCCAGACCCAAGGGTGCAGGCACAGGCACTGCTTCCCCCAGCTCCGCCACCGCCCACAGCAACCACAGCAGAGACCCCGGGGCTGCTCTTTGCCCTGAGCTCAGCAAGCTGTGACRGGGGGCAAGGAGCAGCAAAACCACYGCTGGKTCCACACAGGCTCTGGGATAAAACCTCGGGTTGAGGCTGAGTGGGCAGGGAAATGGAACCAAACCTTTCGACCCCGTGTGCTGCCATCCCGCRGGACAAACCTGTCCCCCTCCTGCTGGCAAAGCTCTGCAGGCGGCAGGGGTGGTGTTTGCACCCTTCCCTCTCTGCCCTTGGCAGGGAAATGGAGGCACCTGGGGTTTGTTTGGCCTGGCTCCATCTGCTTTCACCTGGCTACTCATAAACAGCCGCCCCGGGTGACGAGGGGCAGGGTGGATTTATGCGCTGCGGGTGACATGTGCTTGCATACGCAGGTCACACACAGCWCCCTTCCAGCTCACTGTTCTCTCTGAAACGCAGTGATGGCAGCACCCTCTGCCAGGGGAATGCCATGGAATGGGACCTGCAGCACCAGGAGGGGCTGGGTGGGCACTGGGACATGGGGGAGGACAGGGGGACTTGTTCCAGCCCTGTGGCAGGGACATAGTGGGGACAAGCAACAGTTTTCCTGCCTGCAGTGACATCCACGGGGCACACAGTGCTCCCACCTTGTTCCCAGCAGCACAGGAGCCTCCACCAGCCCCGAGAGAGCTGCCTGGGAGCAGGGGTAATTCGGGATCTGGGTGTATCCTGCATGCAGGCCGAATGCTGGAGGCAGTGGGTGCCTGCAGAAGCCACCAGCAGCCCTTTCCATGGGCTGGTCTTGCCAACTCCTGGCTCCTGGGAGTACATCCAGACAGCCACAAACTCCAGGCATTGATCTGTTTTCTGGTCCCTGTGCATGCTGGACAGAAGCTGCATCCCCTGATCTGTCCATCCGTGGGTGATGGCACCAAATCCTGCCTGTGCATCCCAGTGGGCCCCAGTCACGCAGACAGCAGCACCTGGGAGGCTTCTCGGATGTGGAGAGGGTTGTGGGGAGTCCTGGCCCTACAGAAACTGAGGTGCAATCAGCTGCCCCGCTCCCTGCGGCCATCCAGGAGCATCAGAGGCAGCACCCGTCACCCAGGGTGAGCACCAGCCTGGCAGAGCACATGGGGACATGTCAAAGATGCTGGGGRCACTTTCAAGTGAGAGGAGTTTCTGGATGTCTGTCCCCAGGGTCTCCAGCCCCYGGTGCAGGCTGGCAGGCTTCAGGAGAGAGGAAAGTCCATGTGGAAGGAAGGAGAGTCAGCAGAGAAGGGAGGTGGTGTCTGTGTCCAGTCCRGGCTCATCAAAAGGTGACCCCCAGAGTCCCCTCAAAGTTTGCTAAATAAATACATAAATATGAACACAAAGCCCAGAGCTGGGGCAGCTCCCCCCAAAATCCCTTTTTTTTTGCCATTTCCCTGTAAAAACACAGCTTCCTCCCATCCATCSCACACTTGTCCCTGTGCTCTGTCTGTCCCCAGCCTGTCCCACACCCTGTGGCTCACTGGTCTGGCAGCAGTGGCTCCTTGCACCTCTCTTAAACCCCACAGCACAGAGGTGAGGGGCCAGGACGGCTCCCCTAGGCTAAGGAAATAAATAATTCCTCCCACTGCAAGGATTGGGGGACAGAAAGCCAGCGCAGCRAGACATCGAGTGGCCTTCAGGAGGATGAGAAATAAATAAGTGGAGCTTGGTGCTGCCTCAGGAGCACATTCCCTGGCAGCTCGGCTGRAGGGTATTTAAATAATGGGGGAAAAAAAATCCCAGTCCTGGTGCTGCTCCAGGGAATGTGCTCCCTGCATGCCTTCACCCCCTTCYTCCATCCCAGCCTGAGAGGATGCTCGTGATGATTGGGAAGGAGCCCACAAGACCTTCCCAGGATAAAAAATCCCCACTGGGCTTGGAGAGGRGGTTTCTGTCCCCGACACAGAATGGGGATTTGGGACCCCTGCATCGGGCAGGTGTTGGGGACACCGAGTGCCTCCGGGCTGCGGAGCCTTGGACGCTGCTTTAATCCCGAGTTCGGTTTCTCCTCTTCAGGAAGAAGAAGCTGCTCTTCTGAGGGGGGCCCAGCAGCATGGGCACCTGGCTTTTATGTGTAATTTTGACCTAAAAAGAAGTAGAAAAACCCAGCTCAGTAGGAGGGTCTAAGGCCCTGAACCTTCCCAGGAATCCTCCAGACCCCCAGGACCCTCAGGAGTGACCCCAGGGAGCTGGGAACAGATCAGCACCAGGGTGAAGAGCTCTGGAATTGTGTCCAGGAATGCAAAGAAGATTCTCTCCTGTGCAAGAGAAATGGAAGGGACCCTACTGCAGCTCCTCCAGGCTGGAATGCTGCTGTGCCACCCATTCATCAGGAAATGGGTGTGTCATGGGTCCGGGGCCCTCATGGGTGCAGTCACAGCCGGTCGGGCTCTGTGGCCACCCAGCAGCGAGCCCAGGAGCCTCCCTCCAAATGCAGAGGCTTTGTCCCATCCTGCTGTGCTCCTCCTGCCCCATCCAGCATTCTGCCCCCACCTCCTGCCCCATCCCGACACACTGCCCGCCCCTCCCGCCCCATCCCCGGATCCTGCCAGCCCCTCCCGCCCCATCCCGACATCCCACCAACTCCTCCTGCCCCATCCCGACACACTGCCAGCCCCTCCTGCCCCATCCCGACACACTGCCAGCCCCTCC